GGTCGAACTGCGCTCGGGTAAAAAGCAGGCAGTGGTCGAACTGCACTCGTTCAAAAAAAGGAGTTAAACTTCTAAAAATCGTATACAAATGACTTTATGTCAACTATCCCAGAAAATCACGCTGTTCAAGAATTTAGTGACTATGAAGTTGATAATTATATTTCTGACGTCGGACTTGTATATAGTTGTATTTATTGATGTTTTAACACAGTAACAAATATAGATACTTATATTTTAATGCAAAATACTGACACTAGACCTTTAACTATACACGGTACAAGAAAAAAAAAGATATTGAATAATATATTAACTTCTATACACTATACTCAAAAGTGAATTACCACATATAATACTGCATCCAATACTGCATTTTTATAATGCAGTTTGTTATATTACTACAAAAAATGATTAAAATGAAAAAAAAATTTTTACATTTGACGATTTGAAAAAAAGAATAAAAAAATTATAATTACCTATATATTATTAGTACAAACAATGATTGAAATTAGTTTTAAAAAAAAGTTTTAATAATGAAAATAATATTTGATGATTCAATATAATATGTCTATAATATTTAAATAACATAATGGACAATGGTACATGGTACATTGTATAAAACAAATAATAATCATTTTTAACCACGCCAATGATTAAAATCATTGTCAGTCATAAGCCTGTAAGTGGGAAAAGAAATTAGTGTATTCTAAAAAATGCATGATATTTTTGTTGGAATAGCTTTTTTGAGCCCAAGTGCAATTCGGCTACTATACCTGCTTCTTACCCGAGTGCAGTTCGACTAAAATAAGTGCAATTCGACTATACCCGTGCGTAAGATTTTCGTTTTTATTCTTTAACTTTATCAGTTCCTTGTATTTTTTTTTTTTATATAGTTGCAAATATTTATATTTGTTATTCAACAAATATATATTATTAGGCATGCACCTATGGGCCATCTATAGTCCATAAAATACTTTAATATTTCTCTTGTGCTTTTTGCATTTTCCACATTAAATATTGTGTAGCTAGAATTACTAAAGGAATCTTTTTATAATTTCATATAGTAAGATATTTTGGATGGCTATGTATACTATATAGCCACTAAAGTTGCGGTAAAAATGCCTTCTGCCGCATTTCGGTCCAGAATTTTTTAGGCTAACCCTACTACATATTAATTGTAGCCAAAATTTAACATTTATGAATCTTGGCATAACGTGTTATACGTCGTGTAGATGCCAATTATTACAAATAAAAATAAAATATTATTTGTAATAGAACTTAATTTGTCTTCCCCATTTTTACACCGCTTGTCTGTTGCATAGTTACTTTAATAGGTAGGTTAAAATGTTGTTTTGCCGTTTTGATTCAAATTGATTGTTATGAAATATTGAATTTATGATATATTGCAGGGTTACCCAAACTGTGTTTGATTAAGATCTAATGAGAATATATTTTTCTCTTGACGATTGCCTCAATCAAAAAAAAATTATTTTAGTTTCAAAACATTATTGCTAATATGAATAATAAACGTACAAATTCGCTCATGATATACATAATAGGTACTAATATTACAAAAAAATCAGTAAAAATAGAAAATTATATTTTATAACATCTAACCTATAAGAAATTTAAAACTAAATATGGCGTACAAGTAATTTTACGATACGCGTTATATCGTGTAATGTTCATTATTACACTGTAATTGGTGTATGCGAATTGCGTTACCTTTATAAACTCACTGTACAGTGTACACTATACAACTATACCTATTGGCTATTGTTTGCGTAAAACATTGAAGACCTCATCACATATTAATTATACATAATACGTATACGGTGGTATATGTACATGTGTCATAAAAATGGCCGTCAATTAAATAAATTATTATCGCGTGATTTCCTGGAATTTAAATTCAGAAATCGCTAAAACGTCGGAAATTTAAACAGTAAAACAGTGGTGCATATTTTGTATAAAATAATTTGTTATAACTTATTATGTGGTGGACGGTAGGTACCAATAACTTCTCTACCGGCAGTTAAAATGTAATATTATGCATTTATATAATATAATAGTATATTCAGTATATTTGTGTATGATGGAGGTATACGGTTAAAAATTCTTATATTATTATAATTTATAATATATTAGGTAGTAATACCTATACATATTGTTATGTTCGACAGCTGAAAATTCAAAACAAACTATAACATCTAATAATACTTTTCTGATAATATAACCTACATTAAGTATATATGGCATGTGTATTTGTGCTTGTGTCTATAATATACTTAGGTATAAGCAATAGTACAATGTATCATGTATGTTGCAAATTGTATGTATTTACACATTGTATGCATCAATAAAAGATGGCAGCAGAGGAGTATAGTATGGTTCAAACAGTGCCTCTTCTGCTGTCGGTTAAGAGAGGGGGGAAAAGCAAAAGTACAAAATTATTATGCAGAAGGAAAATAGATGCATAAGTCAGAACTCATTTGAGAAACATAATATAATATATATATAAATATATTAGGTATATTATTATAGTAGTGTACTTTGCTGTACTAACCATCATTATCGAATATTTATAGTACCTATAATACTTTATATTTGATCTATACTTAATATCTCAGTTATATTATTTAAAACTTAAATTATATATTCCGTGATGCTCATAAAAAATACATACACGTAGGTAAATGCCTATAGGGTGCGGTCACATTGTTGTTTTTTTTTTAAATTTTATTCTCGAAGAAACGAGATAAACATTGTGTACCACCGGGCTCTATGCCTATATAATAAAATACTATATACATATTACATATAAATTATAATATATAAATCCACGACACAATGTTCTACATAGGTCTATATACTCGCGGCCCGTCTTGTTCGCGTGAGAATGAAAATAACAATAATAATATTATTACGGCAAACATATCACAATAATCTCATGTATAGGCCTGCATGAGTATATCTACACCCCGCTGCAGTAATATAATAATTGCATAAGATATGTCTCGGTCAACTATATATATATCTACAGTATAAGACCAACTAATAGTTAAGTATTTAAATACTGCAGCAGTCTATATACTGAGCACTCGCAGTGCAGTCGAGTGGAAAACGCTCAGGAATCGGAAACAGGACGTGTTGTTGTTTTTTTGTATATTTTTATTTTCCATTTCTGTCTGCAGTGCATTATAATAATATATGTGACTATGCCTCTATTATATATATTATGTAGATACGGACAGGTGTATAGTATATAAAATAAGAAACCGAAAAATATTATATAAATAAATAAATACTAGTATATTATATTATATTAGGTACATATCTACTATCCGGAAGACCATAAAATATAATGGGTAGGTATAACGTTTTGGCAAATCAAATTTCAAACACCAAGACGGAGGCTGCAGGTTCATATTAAGGCCCTAATGCAGTATATATTATAGTGACTTAAATTTGTACCTCTCAAAATTGTTCCATATACGAGATTTGTTTACCTATATTAAAGCTTGTTTTGTTGAATTAGTATATACAAAACAGTATAGATACAACAATTGAACTTTGCTACAACTGATTATGGTATACTTATTCAAATCGAAGGTTTAATTTAGATTCAATTTATAATTTATATTATTTAATTTGTGAAAATAAATTAAGTTAACCGACTAGCATTTAGTTAAAATGATTTAGTAATCGAACTTTTCGCAGACTTTTAATTGAAAAAACCTATTCTTTAAAAATAAATTAATATTCATATCCATAATATGGTACGCATTATATTTAATCTCCATTAGTGCATTATTCACACAACGTTGTAGGTATAAACATTCAAAACCCAAATTAAAACAATATAATATAATAAAATATGCATGCTCCCAACAGAAGTATAATATATTATATGTAGCTAAAGGGTATGCCTAATAGTCAAAGTTAATTAAATACTGAGTACGTTGAGCTATTGTTCAATATTTATGAAAAACAATAGCTACTACTACGCACAATGCAACAATATTTTGCATATTTTTTACTAAATAAGATAGTCCTACAATACCTACTTATATATTATAATTTTAATAAAAAAATTAATCGAATAGGTATATTTTTTGGAAAACTAAAACATTATTATGGTAAATATTATTTATTAAAAATCAAATGAATATAAGTATTTCTAACGTAATATATACTCTCATATATATATATATATATAGAGAGAGAGAGTATTTTAAATACATACAGCGTTTAATATTATGTAATTATATATAATTATTGGACATACCTATGTACAGAGGCAAAAAGACGGTATTACAATACTTGCACTGCAACATGCTTATCGTTATATAATATTATAATATAATATAATAGTTATGTCGGCGCCTTAGTCATACAGGTAGTTGTCGCGCGAATTACTTGCAGTGCTACAGCACGATGACCGCAGCTCGGTGTACACCAGGCCGTGAGTAGGTAGGTATAGGTATAATATTATGTGTTCTGCTGTGCTCGTGTGGCCAAGTACGATAATAACAATAATAATATTATAACAGTGTAGAGTGCGTAATATGGCTGGTCGTATAGGACGCATATAAAATATATTATATTATTATTATTATTATTATTATTATTATTGTTATGATGGTGAAACTTATACTGCAGTGGCGGGAAATGACTAAAAAGACGCGGGCGACCGGGAGGCAATAAAGTCGTCGTCGTCCCCCGCCGCCGCCGACACGATACCAAATAATCCCCCCTCCTTCTGGACTCGGAGCAATATCTATGGCATGAGGGGGAAAGGGGCAACATGTAGCCGCGTGTGCGTGTGTATCCGACAGGTAAATGCGCGCGCCAGAGCGTGTGTGTATGTGCGTGTATGTGTGCGCGCGTGTGGCACCTGTTGCGGGCGGCCCCGGCTCCGGGCCAATGGCGTGCGGCCCTCAAGACGTCGGCGGGGGAGACGGTGTTCCGAGCGTTTGGTTTGCCAGTGGACCATAGTACAGACCGGTACCTCCGCGCGCATAGTAGCAGTGCCTAACCAGCGAGCACTGTGGACGACGGTCGTGACGCACCATCGGTAGACCATATAGAGAGCTTGCGATCGCGCCGGTGTGTGTAAGTGTGTGTGTGCGTGTGCGGTGTTTGTGCTTCGATTGACTTATCGTAATTTTTTTTTCTCACCCGGTTTGCTTCTCCGCACCCGTGCGCATCGACGCTCCAACCCTTCGGACCACTCGACCGGATTTCGAATATTAATTCCGTACGAATTAAACAATAATATTGTAATATATTACTTTATCGTCAAAATAATAATCGTCGGTCTTATTATTATTCGTTTAAATCGTCGATTTCGCGGGCCGTCAATACCATAATAATATCATAGAACATACAATGTATCATTAACCGTTTATATTATAGACGTGTAGTGTTCGGCAGTTGTATACAATAACATAATATTATTACCCTCGTCGTCGTCGACCGATTTAGTGTGAGCATCCGTCGATAGTGTGCGTTCGCGTAAGCATCAGCTATAACTTCAGCTTCGGGACACAAGACCTATCCCGGAACGCTCTTCGATACACTGCTTTTGGTAAGTAACCAAATTGTCTATATATTATACACCTACCTGTGACCCACGGTATAATATGATATTATTATATAAACAACCGATGAAATATTATAATATATTTTAAGAAACAAACATTATGATCCACCAAGCTAACCAAGTGACTTTAACGCGAGTAAACGCCGAAAATGAATTTTTCAAACTAGATTTCATACCGAAAATGTTGCATATTTTCTTTGATAAATATTAACTCTATTTTTACCAAACTAATAATATTCGATATCGATAGTATTTATTCAAATTTCAAACAAACTTTAATAGAAGCTTATAATATACCTAATAGGTATATTTAAATAAATAACTTAAGCTCTGCATAAGCATAATATAATAATGTATTATTGTCGAAGTTACATAGAAAGTGCAAGTGCAATTTGAAAAAACAACATCTCCTTGACCACGCAGCAAGCTTTGCGTGCACATGTTTTCAATATTTTCCGACGGCAGTTAGCCGTAAACACACTTCCTTTCCTCTCGTTTTCATAATATCCCACGGTCATACGTTGTATAATGTATAAATATTATGTCTATAATTTATATATATATGTAGTCTCATCATTAAGTTCATCGTGACACTGAGCTGTTTTCATAATATAAAAAAAAATATATATAAACAAGCCTAAAACTGAATTAATATTTTCCCATGGACTTAATAGTGTTATATCTTTTAATTATCATTGCTGCAACACAAACATTATTTAATTAACTCAATACCAAATGGCAACTGTTCAAAATCTTATGATTTTCTACACAGATATTATACATTTTATTGAAAGCTTTAATTATCAGACACGCTTTGCTGTTGAAATTTTGTCCACTAACCAGACTTCAGCGCGTTCAGCTTGTAAAAAGATTGAAGTTTGTTCCCGAAAATATACGTTCGCTATTTAGAGGTGTCCGTTAGGGTAAGTTCCATTGTATTATAAAATGGAGAATCATGGAGTAGTAATATAATAAAGTATATACTAATAGTATGTAGTATATTAAAATATAATATCTACTATTATATATGTATGTTTTTAAATCTTTTATTTTAAATTCCAATATCAGACTGTTTTATTTTCATGTGTTGTGCAAGTGATGCATAATTATGTTTTGTCAAAATCATTGTCCTCGTATGCTCTTGATAAGCAAAAAAAAACTAACAGAAACAAACAAACGACGTGCGGGTGAATCCACAGGTCGGTGCCCAGCTTTGGCGGGCCGCACGTTTATTGTTGTCGTTTCCGCCGATTACCATTCTTCTATCACACGTACTCTGTATACACATTACACATATATATGTGTGTATGATTATTATTACATATTATATCATCCACTAACTAGCTATACTAACCTAATATATATGGCTATATCCTATAGGTACAAATAATATATTAAATTGTTATATTATTGGTACAATATACGTACGTAAAAATTGTAGATATATATATAAATTATAGAAAATATAATATATAAAATTACAGAGATGCCTAAATAATATATATATATATTATATACACACACAATTTACAATGTTGTTATTCCAATTAAACTCTTCGATATAGGTAACACAATAATGATATGATTATCTAAACATCGAGGCAAACGCATGTTCGCTTAAACGCGCCGCCGCACGCAGTGCTCAAGCCCTCAACTTGCGCAAATTCGTATAGGTAATCGTTTTTTTCGCACTAGTTCCTATTATCGGCCTCCAACAAAGTCATTGACATTTCAGCGAACACGTCACAACCCTTTTTGTCCCGGGTCTACAATGTATATATATTTATGATATGTATATTGTGCGTGCGTATACAGTTTTGTGTGTTGTGTCGTTATCAGAGTCGAACAGCAGCTGCTGACATTGCGCCTCGCACAGACATCAAGGACAACACAAAACGATAATAATTACGGGTTATACTACTGATGACGGGTCCCCTAGTCGTAGTCATAGTCGTCGTCGTCAAACGTCTATGCGCCGCACCCGCACTCGACGTCTGTACAATATATTATAATGATATTATATTATGAACACTATGGGCATAGGTATTATATTATATAGCGATATAGGATAAACACTATAATTATTGCGCGCTACCGTGAGTCGTTGTACACAACACCCAGACGGCCGACGTCCGGCTGCAGTGCAGTTGTTCCCCGAGACTTGATTTAGATATTATGCGTTTTGGGGATCACACTATATAGTCACAAGTTAAAAGCGCTAGGTAGTACGTGACAGTGACTTATTATTGAACGAGTAAAATCAAAATATTATTGAAACGCATACATTTATTAATTATATATTGGTAGGTACTAGGTGCCAATGCGGCTATACCTACATACTTTTTTTAAGTCGTACTTTTACAATAAACTACATTCTTCGGAATTAAAATATAAATATTTGTAAATATACTGTGTGCTATATTTTTTTAGAGGTAGGTATTTTGTATTTATTTATAAGATACTATCAAAAAAATGAATTTATTCATCTATTAAAAAGTGTGAGTCTTAGAATTTATATTTTTAACAAGCGATAATAATATTCACTAATATTATTGGTATATTAAAGTATCATAGTAGTATTATTTAAAAAACAAAATCATACTAATAATTATACTGATCCTATTGATTGACTTCTAAAATCAAATATACATGAAATTACGAAAAGAATATTAATTTGAATGAACACGATTTAACTCAAATTAATAAACTTGATTGACTCAGCACAATTAAAAAAAAAAAAATTAACAATTGGCTTCTTTACGATTTGTACTAAAATTTATTGTAGATTATAGTAGTTATTAGGTACTCATTAATTTATGGTCGGATTTGTAGATTATTAATTATTATATAATGTCATAACTGGTGAGCATGTATGCAGTCTTCTATAAGTGTGAAAAATGTGGAGTTAGTGAATATTTTAATATCTGTAGCATATATTATGGAATATTTGAAGAGAATTATATGCATGTATTGTGATAAAATAACACTTAATAACTATTAAACATATTTATTTTCAATTATTAATATCATTTTAATTTTGAAACCTAACCTTTCAATTTGTTTAATCATTTAGATTTACCAATAACATAAAATAATAATATTATCTCCTATGTAGCATGAATTTGTGTTTAATTTTTATAATTAAAGAGTTTAATAGTATAATTAGTTTTATATAAATACAAAAGACTTGTTTCTTTAAACTTATTAAATATTATTTTGATCTTCATTAATCACTTTTGAAAAATAAAATTTTTTTTGAATATTTTTCTCAATACTAAGAGAATTTGTAAGTTTTTTTTAAAGATGAGACTAAGCAACATTATTTTGAATATTTAATATCAAACTGTACTTATCATAATAAATGGTTTGTGTTATTATTCGTATATAGTATAGGCATCTATTTATTTTTATTAAATATTATTAAATTAAATCGTATGTATAGTGTTACCCCTATAATTATTATTTTTATTGTTGATATGTATCTACATAATATGTAACATGTTTTTAATACGTTAATCCTCTGCATAACTCTTTTTAAAATAATTATTATTTCTTCGTAAAAAAATTAAACTAAACACACCTGATTTCACAAAAGTAATTTTTCTACCTTTGGATTTTATTTTAATTTCGACTTTAAATGTGAAAGAAATGTTTGCAAAACGATTTTGAGACAGAAAACTGTTAATAGCAAGATGATGTATTTTGAAAAATTCCTAACCATATTGTCGCATTTATTGTACAAAATTATAACATTTTTAGTTTTATAATTATTACAAAATGATTGCAAAAATCACAAAGTAATAATACTTTTTATTTTTTTATTTGAGATATGTATTAAATTATTTTATACTATTTTATATTATATTGTTATTATACTATTATTATATTATATACGAAAAAGAAAAAAAAGAAATCTACATTTTCCAACTTATCATAGATGGGTATATAACATATTACTTATACAATTTTTCAAAAATATTTTTGTGTTTGTAAAAAATTAATCAACTTGGAGGTTCCATTTCATCCAAAAAATCGTTTAGTTAGGTATTTACTGAATTAATCTGGAACGTAAGTAGTCGTTTTGATAAATGGGTGATGTGCAATGTGAGTATGTTTGTGTGTCTTATGAAGGGGAAGAAGAAAATAACTCGTGAAAAACCACTAAAAACCAATCGGTTGATTGGAAAAAAAGGTGTATAATAAAAGTGTATATATAACATTAAACCTACACCTAACCTATACATAAGAAGGAAATGAACGAGAAAAAACCTCAAGAGAAAGTGGCAGATTAAATTTTCCAACGGTGGAAACCCGTCCCAGATGGAAAATCCAATTAATTGCGTAACCGTCGGTTCTTTTTCCGGTCATTCGTAACTGCAGAGATACATTTTTTTATAGAATATATATTTATCGATTTACATTATTACTCGACGCAGCTCGTTCCGTTTTATTTGGATCGCGGAAATTGTCGTTTGAAATAATATGATTTATAACGAAATCACGTAAATATATTAATAATATAATCTATTATTAATTCATTGCCGTAATAATACCGACGGGTCGGACCAGGGTCGGGTTGTTATAAAATTATATAACACAATATCATAATGATAAGAACTATGCATATTTTTGTATAATATTTGATTGGCATGAAGCATTTTTGGTCCCTATTCAAAGTTCCCCAAATCGATTTGGCTATTTTATATACTTTTCTATATATTATATATTACGCGTACCATACCTATTTCTGTACTGAAAGTATACGTATGATCTGTCGTCCAAAAATGCCTTATTACTGGCAGCATTTAAGCATTCATCGTGGATACTAGATAGGTAATATAAATAGTACAGTGAGGTGCCTCAGCTAGTATACACACGGGGTTATTTCTTCCGTCACTATACCAAGCCCCACGGAAACCCTCGCCTACCCCTAACAGCACGCAGACACGTTGCCGTCACAATAGGCGTTAATTGTCTGTGACGTT